CTTGGATCTTTTTGCATATCCTATATTCTCTGTTCCCTTTCTTTGAATTTTTCATTTTTTCTCTTCTTCTAAAGATAAACTAGCTTGGGAAATATTAAGGTATTTGTTCTGCATCAATAATCCTATGATTTGGTATTATATATTCTGAACAGATTATAAACTTGGACATTCAATAATACAATTTCAGGAATTACCAGAAAGAATTTTACCTAAATTGACAGTGTCCTAGCCAGCCATTTTTCCAACACAGCTAAATGTATACTTTAAAACTTTTTAAAGCAATGTGTTGTTTTCTTTTTTTTGCGGTAATGGGGTTTGAACTCAGGGCCTCATGCTTGTGAGGCAGGTGCTCTACTACTTGAGCTGCACTTCGCCAACCCTTTTTTGTGTTGGGCATTTTCTAGATAGGGTCTTGCAAACTATTTGCCAGGAACTGGTTTTGAACCACCATCTTCCTGATCTTGTGTCTCCTGAGTATCTATGATTGCAGATGTTAGCCACCAATGCCCAGCTACAATGAGCTTTTTTAAAAAATAAAAGTGCAAACTGAATTTAAATAAAAATGTTGTTCATTCCTCCCTCTTTTTGCTTATTTCTAATACATTTATTAGGTGCTAGGAAAAAAAGCTTCTTTTAGTGTAATTATTCCCTTGGCAAACTTCCTTAAGTTAAGAAACATTTAAATGCTTCAATTTATTTTGTTACATTATCATCTAAATTTTTTTTGATCATGTTTTTATTTCACACTGGTATATTAGATACTTTCCTCATCCACGTGACAAAATACCTGGCATAAACTACTTAAGGGATTTAAGATTTATTTTAATTCAGAGATTACAGTCCATCATGGCTGAGAAGACAGGGTGGAAGAGAGTTGTTTAACTCAGAGCAGCCAAGAAGCAGAGCAGCAACAAAAGGGACCAGGACAAGATGTTGCTCCCAGGGACACACCCCAGTGGCCTACTTCCTCCAACCAGGCTCCATCTTCCACAGTTTCACCACTTCCCAATAATATGTTCAAATTTTGAACCCATCAGTGGATTAAAGTATTCATTGTTCACAGCTCTCTTGACCTATCATCTCTGGAAATACCTTCACAGACACACTGAGAGGTATGCTTTATTAATCTCTTAAGCATTTCTCAATCCAATCTAGTTGAAAATAAAAATTAATCATCATATCTGGTGTATATTTTGCTATACTAAAATTTTCTGGAAATAGTCATATTAGAAAAAATTATTCCTTATTGCCAGAGATCACTGAGTGTACTACCATAATTTTCTGTTTTTGAACCACTGAGCCAAACTTGACTACTAAAAATAAAAAATTAGTAAAGATTTTTTTAAATCCCTAACCCCAGGACAAGAAATTTGCAACATACTAGGAGAATAGTTTACTGGAAGCTTCAAGTACTTTATAAAGATGGTCAATCCTCCGCTTGGCCAGACTGATACAAGAAACTGACATGAACACCTGGATTGAGAAGTCTGTATTTCTCTGTTCTCAATTCTGCTTCTAATGGTAACGAAAGTCACAGACCTGGACAATCCACAAATTGGATCATCATTCTACAATAAAGCAGCTAACTCATTTTTTGCCTGGCACCAATTTTTTTGCCATCATTATATATTAGCTACGGTTAAAGTTTGCCTTGTATATCCTTAAAAACACAGAATAAATGCACTGTTGCATTTTCTTGTCTGAGACTGTACTGAAAGGTGTGTGCAGAACACCAACTCCACCTTCCACATTTACTGAGCATCTTTCATTTGCAAGGCACTGAGTTAGGCTTGCAAGCACAGCAAAGATGATTTGGTCTCTGCACTCAAGAATTTGGTAACTTAGCTGGGAAAGAAAGCTTAGAAATGATTATTAGGAAACAATTACTATATGATAAGAAAGTACTGAAAAGTCTAGTTGGAAACCCCAGAACGCAACAGATGCATTGAACTGCATTGTGGCTCAATGTCTTTCCAGTTTGTATATGTTAATATACTACAATTTTTTAGAGAAAAATCTGAGTAGTATATACATATACATGTATATATATGTATATATATGCGTTATTGTTTACTAATTTATTTAATATGTTTCTGTGACAAGTATTGTTTAGTGATATTTAGAACTGTTTCATAAATTACATGAATTACAACACTATTTTATTTCCAGGTCAAGATCTCATCAGTATAGCTGAGCTAATGTGTATGTATAGAGCTGCAACAGTTTTTTCTTTCTCACCTTAGTTTTTGTTTTCATTTTTGTAACTGATTCCCTCAGTTGTTCATGGCAATGCTGACATTATGAGAAGTCTGTGTATTATGATGACTAACAGAGCATAAGGAAAATTTCCCAAGACCATGTCTAGGCATGGTACTTACCTTGCCCTACCAACCCAAATCAGATGTCTTGGCAAGCAATGCTAGGTCCTGAATGTGAATTCCCAAACAAAAGCCAGATCTGTCAACTGAAGGCAGACAACTATCATAGCTAGTGACACTTTTGGTCCACACCTGTGGTGGAGAAATGGCTTTATTAGTGATTCTCTCCTACTGGAAAGTCCATCCTGACTTTTTGAGTTAATATATGATTTGCATTAATTAAGGCAGCCTAGATTTTCACAAATTTGCATTTGGTTTATATAAAGTTATTATAGTCTTTAAAATATTTAGCAACTTGTGGAGATATGAGTCATTGTTTACATCAGGATTGAGATTTGGGGATGAACTACAGGTATACTACCTTTAATTTCTAAGGAGAAAAATATATAACTTCAGGCTTTGAAGGTTCTAATTGCAGACCAATATTGCCCCCTAATGGTAAGAAGCTTAATCTCATATTTTAGGCTGACAAGTTGATATTTTATGTATATATAGATATCTAGATAGATAGATAGATAGATAGACAGATAGACAGATAGATATATGCAAAGGAAGAGCAGAGTAAACACTTATTATCATATTGGGGCAATCAGGGAGATTGGGTTCCTACTCACTGATCTGCCATCTTGGAGTCCCAGAATTTTCTTATCTCCTCTCAGGTGCAGGTATTAAGGATCTTCAAACTTCAGCCTTAGTTCCTCTTCTCCCCTCATCCTTATGTTAAGTCTGTCCTTGTCCTAATATGTTAAGATGCTCATTCTGGACAGCCAACTAGAGTCTAGAAACAGTTTGGAATATGGCTGATTTCTGTACTGCTAAAAGGTGAGCTCCTGCTTTAGCATCCACATGTATCACTCCTACAATGAGTTTTCCCAAAGTCACATGTTTCCTGTCATTTTTAAAAAAAATTCCTCAATGAAGCTGGAACCCAGTCCTGAATCTCTGCATTTCACTTCCTCCAGGTGTCTAACCTGGATCCCTTACCGTCAACTTAGCCTGTTAGAGCCATTCTACTTAGAGGAGCTGTGAAAAAGGAATTGGCCAACCGCCTTACCTCAAACCTTTGAGCAGAGAATCTGCCATCTGGCTAAGGTAAGCATCACCAAGACTCACAGAAACTGGGATTGGAGGTGACTAAATCAGAACTCTTATCTATGTCTCTAAACCAAATCAGACTCAAAGAACCCACCTATCTCTGCTCCCTCCCTCCCCCCACACTGCATGCCATGCTATGGTTGAGGCTATTTCTCCTTGGGGAGCTAGCCCTGAGCAAGGTGTGTAACCCTCAATCATTCCTATACTACCCAATCTGCAAGCCTCTCTACAGTGTCTTTTATACAGATAAAAGAGAAAAATGATAAGGAAAAAAAAAAGAAAGAAAAGGAGCTCTTGTCTCAGGCAGAAACCATGTTATGTATTATATATGATGAGCCCACTTGAGGACTAGACACTTCCTCTGCTGTGAAGAAATACTTGCTGGCTGATATTGAAGGGGTAGATGAAATGTAGAAGGTGAACATAGTACTGCAAAAACATAATGTATAGTTTAATGGATGTTCTAATGGTACAGTAGAGTAATTTGTGCTATTGGTGTTCTCTGATCAAGGCCCTTTTAAATATCTGAGACATCAAATTAATAAGCCATGTTCAGGAATATCATTATAGGCATGGATGAAAGACTTGTGTCAATGATAGTGATCTATGTTAAGAAAGATTTTTTTTGAACCATATCTGGAGTCAAAATAGTTTCTGCCTGGTAGTGAGGGGGTGGGGGGGAGAGGGAGGGAGTGGTGTAAGGGAGGGGGCAAGGGGAAGGGGGGAGAAATGACCCAAACATTGTATGCATATAAGAATAAAAGAAAAAAAATGATTGATCGATCAGCAATGTCTTCCACAACCACACACTTGTCAGAAAATTCCTTTTTCTTTTCTAAAACCGTCCTCACATTACCTCCTTCCTGATTCTCTTGGTATATGTTTCTCAAGCTTCCAGGTAGGTAACAATCACTTAAGGATCTTGTTAAAATGCAGATTCTGATGCAATAGGTCTGAAGTGCACACTAGGGATTCTGCATCTCTGTCTTCTCTGTCTCCTGTGTTGGGATCAAACCTAGGGCCTTGTGCATGCGAAGCAAGCACTCTACCACTAAGTGACATCCCCACCCTTGAGAGTCTGCATTTCTAAGAAACTCCCAGCAAATGCCCAAGCTGCAGAACTTCCAGGTCTTCTTTTTTAACATTTTAATAATTTCCCTTATTAATCACCCAGCAATGTTAAATCTTTTACCTTTTACCTTTTTTCTTACTAGTGACCAGGCAGAGAAGTAAGATAATAGCCATTTCTGTCAGTTGTTAATACTCCAAGAATTTTTAAAATTTAATAGAAAATATTCCTATAACATTTTGGGATTTTCAATATTACATGTTTCAACATTTATGTGTACATACATCAATATAGTGAAGTCTAATTTATCATGCTTTTATAATTAAGAAGTTTCTCCCAACTACTCTTCCTGAGTCCTAGATTACCACAATGATGAATGTATTTAAAATGACCATGAAGCTCTGTGACATCCTGTACTTCCTACTAAATTATCAAATAAATCATATTTAGTATATTTTCATAGTTAATTTCACTTTATTGCCTTCTAATTCCTTTTAAAATAGTATTCCAAACACGATGTTCACAGTAATTCTCATTTTCTCTGAATACATTTTACTCCTCAACAATGCAAGTATCCTGAAAGTGAGAGATACTTACTCACTTTTACAAAGATTATTACATAAAAGGATCATGTGTGAAAAAACTCAGAAGATCCAGACACTGACAAATTAATCAGGTTATACCCTTACACATTACCCATAGTGAAGAATCCCAAGATGGGATGATTCTTTAATCACAGTGCCTCACAGGGAGTGTATGGGCCTTTGTCATGCACCCAAGCATATTTCCCTTATGGAAAAATTTCCCAGTTGACCACTCTTCTTCCAAACTGCAGTTTCCTTTGGTCATATGATCAAAAGGGTCATGAGACACATGCAATGTTGTTAATGACTGGCTTTTCAGTCCTGTGTAGAGCCTATGAGTCCACGTCCTCCTCCAGGTCCTCAAGAGCTGAAAATTCTGTGTCAATAAGTGGCTTCAAAAACTTCTCAACCTTGGTTAATCTTTGCTTCAGTTTCTGTTGCATTGACTCATATTCAGCTAGAATCCGGGCAAATCGTGTTTGTAGGCGGTCTACTGACCCCTCCATTTGAGTGACCTTCTCTTCAAGATCTTTAGGGTCACTACCAGCATTTGCAATGCTTACATCCAGTAGGCCATCTTTCATTAAGATTTGCCTCCCTTTCTCTTCGAGCATAGTTTTGGCATCTGGGTACTCAGTTAGAGCTTCCATGAGATCATCTTTTGAGAGACAGAACAGATCTGAGTAGCCAATGCTTTTAATATTGGCTGTTCTTCGGTTGCCAGCTTTGCTGCCTTTAATGTTAAGAATGCTGATCTCCCCAAAGTAGCTGCCATCACTCAACACCACAAACTGAGTAATTCCATCATCTGCCACTACAGCAAGTTTGCCTTCTTTGATGATGTACATCTCACGCCCAATATCCCCTTTCTTGCATATGTAATCTCCAGGACTATAGACTTGGGGTTGTAATTTCAAGACTAACTCCACCAACAGACCAGCTTCACAGTCAGCAAAAATACGCACCTTTTTTAACGTGTCCAAGTGAACGTTGATGGCAATTTCCGCCCTTAGTTTATCAGGTAGATACTTTAAGACTTCTCTCTCATCAACTGTTTTTTTGTTGGTCCACAGATAGTCAAACCATTTAATAACCCTCTTTTCCATATCTTTGCTTACATTTCTAAAATTCATGTATTGCTTGATAGCATCAACTCTTGCTTGAAATTCTGCCCTGGCTGCATTCATATTGGAAATCATAGAACCTATGTTACCGACAATGGTAGCAAAAATTAAAACTCCAATTAAGAAATCAACCACCACAAAGATATACTCAGAATCCAGCACAGGAGGTGGTGTTTCACCGATGGTAGTCAAAGTCAGTGTAGACCAGTAAAGGCTGTAGACATATTTTCTAGCCAAACGACCAAATTCAGGGTCATTGACATCGGGGTAGACCCACGTGTCATTACCAAATCCAATAGCTTTTGAAATAGAGTAGTACACACATGCATTCCAGTGAATAATGATGACGATATACATAACAAGGTTAGAAATCCTAAAGATGTTTGGGTAGTTTGTCCTTGTTTCTGTTCTCTGAAAGAACTCAAACATACGAGAAATTCTTAACAGCCTATTTAATCTAATTTCTGGATAGTTCCACCCAAACTGAATATACAGCAGATCAGTTGGTACCACTGACAGAACATCAAGTTTAAATTGCACGTTTGATTTATATTTCTCTATGAGTTTAAATTTATCTTTCACCAGCAATCCTTGTTCTAAGCAACCTAAAATAGAAGGAAAAGAAATCAATGTTTCTACTTTTTAGACCATTGTGAATTTTTCTAAAGTAACTTGCAATTAGCCTTGTTAAGGTCAAAACAAGAATTCATTTTCAATAAGTACGCCTTCAGCAATGTAATATGATATAAGCACACATCAACACATGGCTTTGGAAAAGAATTCATTGTAGAAATAAGTAAAACTTTGTAAGCACAAAAGTGAGAGAAACTTGTTTTTGTATAAATACCAGTTTTTCAGGATCCAATATCCCTCCCCAGGTAAAGTCATTCCTTTTATGAATTATACCCATGTTTTTGTGACATTGTGATATAATTGGTTACATATTTGGTTCCTGTCTTCAACTTCTGGCACTTAAGGAAATGCTTTTAAAATCCTGTGATTTCATAAGCAATGGAAGTGTTAATTGCATCTTTTTTTTTTTCCTGGTATTTTGTCTTTGGCTTGTTCCTAACACAGATCTTAGAAATCCTTGGAATTTCCTAACTGAGAACAGTATCTTTTATTCTAAGGAAGAAACTCTTGGTAGGCTTCTAGATGAAGCTGGTCACCAGAAAGATTAGGCCATGTTTAGAAACTTAGAACTTTCAGCCCCAATCCTGTCTTCCTCCGGGAAGAGGAGAAGAGCTGGAGAGTAAGTTAGTATTCTATCATCCCTACATGATGAAGCCTTTCATAAAAATCTCTAACTGTGGGGGTTCAGAGACGGTCCAGGTTACCAAACACACGCAGGGTGCTGGAAAGGTGTCCTACCCCAGTTTTATGAGGACAGAAGTTCCTTCTCTCAGGATCCTTCCAGACTTTGCCCTATGTACCTCTTCACCTGTGTGTTCATCTACATCATTTGTCATACCCTTTATTAATATACTAACCAAGTAAATGTGTTTCTCGAAGTTCTGTGAGCCACGCTAGCAAATTACTGAACCTGAGAAGGGGATTATGGAAACCCTAATTTACAGTCCATTGTTCAGAAGCACAGGTCACAACTTGGGGCTTAGGGCTGGCATCCGAACTGGGGCAGTGTCTTATGGAAATAAGCCCTCAACTGTGGGATCTAGCTAGTATCAGAATTGAGTTAAATTGTAGGACACCAGTTTTGTGTTACAAAACTGCTTGGTATGTTGGGCTTTCCTCATGTACATTTTGGTGATCACAGGGTATTGTTCTGTGTATAGTAAGAGTTTGTTTTTCCTTCCATACATGGATCTTGGAAACTTTCTTGAACACCTTGGCACTATGCCTAGTAACTCATGTCACTCTCTGGACAGAATCCCAGCCCTGCTCTCAATGGATACCTACCCTGTTATCTCACTATTTTCATGTTTTGCCCCTTCAATGTGAAGCACAAATGCTTTTTGAGACTGTTTTTTTGCCTCTTAGTCTTGTCTCCCAGGCTTTTCTTAGTCACCTGGGATCTTCCCTACTATGCCGTTGTGTCAAAACCAGAATTTCAGCATTAGGGAAAGCGTTTGTTTCTCCTCCTATAATGGCTACCAGAGCTCCAAACAAAACAGAGCAATTGGAGCATTGTTCCAGGGCACTGATATTTAGAGAACATCCTGAAAATAATTCCTAAAATCTTCTCTGTGTACATTCTCTTGTTACATTTGCAGTTGAGAGCAGTATAGAAACAATGAGCTTGTACTATACCCACTTACCAAGAACACTTCAAGTAGGAAGCTATCAGATGTTGCTGCCTGGTCAATAATGTCCCACCATGAACTACAAAGTTCATGCCTCCTATAAAATTTCTAGTGTGTCTCTGCAGGATACAATGACACTGTTCTCCTGTGGCTTTTTAAGGTATCTCCATGTTAGGTAACAATTACTCTTTCCCCACAGAGCTGGCTGAATATTTCTGCTCTCTATTCCTCTTGCCTGGCATAAACCCAATGAACGGGGGTTCATTGGGTGGAAGAAAACCACCAACCCACACTCAGAAGGTTGGCTAATAACACCTTTTTGAATCTGTTGGAGTAGTTTAAACCTGTGGGTAGGTACGCTGTTTCTCCTACTTTCAACTGTACCTTTTCCTCTAAAACAAATTTTTGTGTGTTTATCTTGAGAAGCACTTCAATTGCAAATTTTGAGTTATACAAGAGAGATAAAAGCATTGCCTTCAGAATATTTCAAACCAAACATATTTACCTGTCCTCGTTCGTACAAACATATCGACAAGATAGACTATGTCTGATAAGTAATCAAAAATGAGCCAGTATTCTAGGTAATCAGATTGAAGTTCATCAAAACATGCTCTGTAAAAGGAAAAAAATGTATAAATGAAATGGAGACAATTTGAAGTGGAAATTCTCTTTGTATAATTTCTTTATGATGAGAAGTATAACATGTTGAGACTAGGAGGGGTCCTGAAAACATATTCAGTCAATTGTGATTTTCCCAAATCTCCCTAGTGGTTGCATTTTGTTTTCTCACACTTCTAAATTCCAGCGTCTTTTCCATCCACACTAGTTGGTTTTGTAAAAACATCAAATAAGAACAAATGGCCTCAAACCTGGTGCCAGTGGCTCATGCCTGTAATCCCAGCTACTTGGGAGGCTGAGATGGGGAAGATCATGGTTGGAGGCCAGCCCCAGCAAAAAACTTTGCAAGATCCCATCTCAATGGGAAAAAGCTGAGCATGGGGCTCAGTGCCTGTCATGCCAGCTACACAGGAGGCTGAGGTCTGGGCTGGCCCAGGCAAAAAGTAAAACCCTATCTCCAAAATAACCATAGCCAAAAGAGCTGGAGGCATGGCTCAAGTGGTAGAGTGCCTGCCTAGAAGGCACAAAACTATGAGTTCAAACCTGAATAATGCAAAATTTTTTTTAAAAGTGGCCTTAAACTGTAGTCAGAATTCATTATGTGAAACCCAGTGATCACCAGGTTCATATTTCTTATCTGTACCCAAAAAAAGATTTCAGGAAACTGTGCTTGGCCCTGGATAATTACCAAGAGCTGATTACCATCTAAAAGATGGTAAGATCCTTGATCCTTGAGCTTTTTCCACTACTGGCAACATTTTTTTTTTTCTAATAGGCTCCAAGTGGTAGAGCAATCAGAAGTCCAAAAGTACCCTTTCCCACTTCCCTCATCCCAATAGAACCATGCACCTCCCCCACCTCAGGAATACGTATTGAGAGTAATTAAGCCTCTCTTTACAACCTGTGCTGGAGAACAGAAGTGTGTTCTGAAGAGTTCTAGATCAAATTGTTTTTTATTTCCTTTATTTATATGTGCATACAATGATTGGGTCATTACTCCCTCCTTCCCCCTGCCCTCTCCTTTTCCCCCCACCCCCTCCCTCTCACCCCCACCCCTTTGCTTCTAAGCAGATGATCAAATTGTTTAGAAGGTTAACTTGAAAACTAAAAGTGGGTTGATACACACACACACACAAACCTTGCAATAATCATTGTCCAGTTATACATCACAGGTAAGGTGATGCAAAACAGCCAGTTGTAGTATACGTTTCCTGAGGGATCAATAACTGCAACTTCTTTCTTCTCCCTAGCAGCAATTAGAAATAAAGAAGGTTAACCAACAAACAAGAACATTTGTATTTGTCATAGCAAAGAGTTATACTCATCACCCACAACTAATGAAATATCAATAAGATGGAGAAGCTCCCCTTGCAGTGGGAAGATTAACTTAATAAGTACACTAGTCACAAGAAACTGGTTAATGAGGGGGTAGATATACAGTTAAATTACCAGGCTTATATTAAAAGCACATATTAAGCACTTACTAAAGTCCTGTTTATACTGAAATGATGCAGTCAGGTCTACACTCCATGCAGTGAGAGTCCAAAATAGTGGCACAGATGAGGGAAAAATCTGAATATCCTAAAACTCCTTGGGAAGGTTATAGGGTGTAGAGGAGTGACTTTGGCCACTCCCCGTCAGATACCAAAGTGACCAGGAACTATATGATTTAAGAGGGAAGCCACTCATTGCTTCTTTCTCATCTGTAGAGAAAGAAGAATAATCTAACACAATCTAGTACAAAGTACTTGTTCCTTGTTCATAAGTATGCAAAAAAGGATTTTTTTTTTTTTTTTTGCAGTACTGGGGTTTGAATTCAGGGCTTCACACTTGCTAGGCAGGTGCTCTACTGCTTGAGCTACACCGTCAGGCCCAGAAAAGATTCAAGGGAGGCAAGAGAGGATCTGAAGAAGGCAGGAAGAATATATATAGTCAAATACACATTTGAAAACTATTCTATATTTTAAAGAACATTTCCCCTTATACAAACTTTGACTTTCTAAACAAGCACAAATAAGTGAACCATTGGTAAAGAGTTTTGTTGAAGTAAGTTCAGACAGTAATTTCTCCTTAATAAAAAGTGAAAACAGCTCTGCAAATGTCAGTTGACCGTATCCTTGTGAAATTCTAACTTTCAAATGTTTGTTTTAAAAAGAATACCTCAAGAGCTTATGTTTTGATAGCACTGTACTTCTGTCAAAAGTAGTCAAGACTTTTGCAATGGAGTTTCTTTAGAGTGTTTGCTATAGAGTTTATTACTGAAAAATATTAATGAAATTATTAATTTTTTATTTCAGCTTTTAAAAATCGATGGATAGATCCTCAGTACCCAATTCTTCTTGAACCTAAGTATTTTCCACTGGCAAATGTGTCTTCACCAACATTTGTTACAGAGAAGAGTAATAGTAAAAATTCTTTGTGGGAAAACTAACAATTGCTAATTTTAGGGATTTAGAAAAGACATTTAATTCACATTTATATCAATGTATTTTAAATGTTTCCAAATATTCAAAAATTATTATTCTTTACATGATGCTTCTTTACTAAAAAATTTCTTCTTTTGTTATATCATGAGAAATCATCCTTACATCTAAAATCCATCACAAATTTATATCAAATTTCAATACCAGTAAAAAATACTTACTCTTCTTTCTTATCTTTGCTTTTCTCTTCTTTCTTTTTCTTCTCTTTGTCCTTTTCCTTCTTCTTTTTCTTCTCTGGGTCATTTTTATTATCTGACTTGCTAAAAAAGTTGAGTATGTAGTGTTAAAATATGCAAATGTTATGGGCAGAAAAATATGGGGTCATTTATGCCAAAGTTTCACATACCTCTTCTTTTCTTTTTTCTTTTTCTTTTTTTCTTTTGGTTCTCTAAAAAGGAAACAATATTTCTGTTACATAATCATATTACATTGTGACTTCCATTATTTTTTACTCTCTTCTCAATGAAATAAAAATTCTCAGCCTTGCAATTCAAAGACCTACCCCAGTGCTCAGAAACCAGAAACCTGGCCTCTTGATGGAGAGTTCTACCAAAAAAATGGACAATTATCCAGTTAATAAAATAAGCAAAGATTGCCATTTTAATGGATGTGAGAAATTGAAGAAAATGGAAAAATTTAAAGGTATAAACTTGAGAAGTTAATTTAAGAAACAAGAGTCCCCAAAAGAATAGACTTCCAAAGCATTAATACATAAAAAAGGAATTTAAAATGTAAGCTTCTTGATATCACTCACATTTATCCTTAAATAAAATGTTGAGAATTTCAAGAAAATGCCATATATTTTCTTTAGAGGAAATAATCTTGACTAAAGCAATTTTTCATTTTGAGAGTTCAAAAGCTCTGTGGTATACCATCCATGCCATAAGGTTAAACAGTAATCCATCCTATGATTGAGTTAGTATAACTAGGATAGAGCATGAACCAGATGGAATAGGTAAGCTTCAGAGCAGGTAATTAATACCCCCAATCCCCCACACACATCATGCCATTTAGCACTACTGCATCAGCACCTATCTTTCCATGCTCAGTTATGGCTATATGTGAAGTTCATTAGGAGCAGTTGGTGAAGTACCTCCCACGGGTGGGCCAGCCTGACATGTGTATGTAAGCCAAAATAGGATGTACCTATGTCTCAACCCCACTTAAAAGTGCTGTGGGAATAGTGGTAATAAAGATGACCTCCACAATGGCAAAACTTAATCAGTCCATGATTATTCACTTTATATGGAAAAAGATATGGCTCAACTTAAGAACACACAGGCCTTATGGGAAGTCACAAACACCTTGACTGGTTGATCAAGAATCTATATGGAAAAAGATGGAAAGATCAGTGAAAGTAGTTCTGGAGAAAAGGCAAACTCAATGGACCCATGAACACAAGCACAAAGTTTGAAAATCATTGTATCCCATGTTAATGCCATCAAACAGTATGTACCATGGAGAAGGCACAAAGCAACCAAATAAACAAAATGATGTCAGCTGATAAAACCAGCCTCTGTTATTGCATTCTCAATGCTGGCACAATGTGTATATGAACCAAGCCTCTGTGGTAGAAGATCTGGAGGCTCTGTGTGAGCCCAACACATGATTTCCCACTTGCCAAAGCTGTTGCTAAATATCCAACCTGCCAGTTTCAAAGGCTAATGCTATGACTCAGATATCCCCTTGAGCAAAGCAATCAGTCATATGTTTGGCAAGTTAATGACACTGGACTCTTGGAACCATGGAAGGTGCATAAAATATATTTATATGAGTTGATATACATTATGGGTATTCATCTGCTTTTTTTGCCACAGGACTTTGACCAGTGCCATTATTTAGGTGTTTATAAAGTATAATACACTTTTACAGAATAGTATATAATGCCACTTTGAACCAAAGACCTCCTTTATAGCAAAGGAAATGTGTCATTGGACACTAACTGTGTAATTCAATGATCCTATCATATGCTGCACCACTCAGAAGCTATGTTAGAGCTATGGAGTGGTCTTTTGAAGGCACAGATGAGATGCTATCATAGAGTTCATCCTCAGGAAGATAAGATGCCATCCTCCAGGACACTATATACATGAAAAATCCATGGTCATTAGATCTTGCTTGTAGAATGCTTGGATCTAAGAAGCAAGAAGTCTAAGTAGGGATAACTTACATAGGGAGGGTACACTTCCCATCCCTGAAACTTTAGGCTCTGTGATTCTGGAGATCTTTGATTCAGGGAACATGTTTCTGCCAGGGAACACAGTTATTGTCCCATTAAGATTAAGTGATGACTACTGCCTAACCACTTTGGACCCCTCATGCTAAGAAAGCAACAGGCAAGGAAAAGAGTCATCATACTGGCAAGCCATTGCCATTGATCATCAGAAGTAGGTGAAGGGACGGAAAATACAATCAGCACCTGAGTGATCTACTGTTGTGTCTTTTGGTATTCTCTAGTCCAGTGTTGGTAGTAAATACACAAGTATGGTAGCCATGAGAAATGCAGATAACCAGCTGAATGTCTGCATTATTCTAGACCAGAAGAAGTTCTGGCTAAAGATGAGACAACTCTAGAATGACTAGGATGGGATGAATTTCAGTTGATTAGGAATATCAACTGAAGTCTCAAAGTCTTCATAAGTTTCCAGGAATTTTAGCTTATCCAATTAACCTTCCTCTTTATAAACTTACCCAGGGGGAAAAAAAAAAGAATGATCAGAATCCTGGAGGAGACATTTCCAGAGGGGGTGAATTTTCTATACAAAGACAGTGGATTTGAGCAGTGCACAGATCAGCTGAATGGATGCAGTGTTACAAAGACTAAAGTTAGTCATTCCCCAGCTGTTAAGAGTTGGTTGCTGACAGCTCACAGTTTTTCCTATTTCTTGACAGGCCTTGGATGAAGGAAACCACCATGCTCAATGCCTCCACTTCCTAGGGCCAGCCCTTACTGTATGACAGTGCATGGGATAGGTGCAAAGGACCTGACCTATTACCTAAATATGGTACAAATTTGAAAGGCTATTCATGTCCCAAAGCTGCCATGGGATCACATTGTCAATTAACTCTATTCTCTGAAATTCAACTTTTCCTTCCCCCCAGTTCTGTTCCCTCAACTCTTGTTATCATTCTCAAGAGCACACCCACTTAAACTTCTGCCCACAAACCTTTACCACAGAGTTTATATCCTGAGGAACTCGACCTAAGACACCTGGGTTCAGACTGGAAAGTACTAGTGTTTCATCCACTTTTGTCAGCCACTCCATCCACAAGGAAGAGCAGTTGCATATACACTGCAGACCTGTTTTTTCTAGCACATTCAAATAAGTGAAGAAATAAGTATATACCACTTTTGATATGGCTAGGTGTATTTTTCAGATATAAATAACCAAATAACAAAATAATAGAATACCATTACTATTATATTAGTTTGCCTTATAAATATTTGCTCTGTCTCAGATTTGGATATATTCCTAACTTTTTACTGCTTTTCTTTAAAAATAAATCTTTAGTTTTCTACTGTAAATGTACTTACTGATCCTTATTGCTGCTGTTGTTAACATTGAAAAGTGCCGTGGTACCTGGCAGGTACTGCTCCCTAAGAAATGAAAAACACACACTGAAATCATAGTCACAAATTCTTTCCAATTTCTACCCATTACTAAAAATTGCTTAAATAATTTTTAAAAATATAGTTCCCCATGAAGCACAATTTGCCAAATGTCAGTGCCTTGAACCAAAGTAGCTACTAAATGGCCATTAGTCAATGTTCAAACCAAGAATGTGCATGATCCTTGGCTTTGAGAAAGCCAAGTTGGATACCACTAACTTGGTTCAATAAGAAGCAAGTTAGATACCAAGAACTTCATTCCAACAAGAACCTAAAATTGTCAGGAAAGATAGGAAAAAAAGAAAAGACAAAAGCAGTGAGAAAGCTGGCGTTATCCAGCGGGAAGAAAAAACAAAGAAAAAGTAAATGCATTGTATAGGATGGAAACCCCTTATCCACAAGAACACAATACCCCTTCAACACCCTCAGAGTCCCATGGTGATCATTACTGCTCTACTTCCTTCTAAGAATGTTTAGCCTTTCTCTTGTAACTACTAATTCCACTGCTCCATCCTGGAAGTAGAATCAAGTGGAATAGAGTAGTTTAGAGAATTATAGCCAACCTTCACACGTACAATTGCTTCAGGACCCTGAAAGAAGCAGTCAATCAGAAAAGAATGAGATATGAAGTTTCTAAGGGATGGACATCAGTCTCTGGGAAAAGGATGGAGTATGTTTATGACTTAGAATCCCATAACCATAGATAATTGCCAACCACTGGCAGTTTTCCAAGGAAGGACAGGGTAAGGAACAAAAGAAGCATGATACTCCCAAAATCCTGCATAGTGTCTGGATAGTATTTGCCAAGCCCACTCTGTGGGAGGAATAGAAGACTGTCATCCAAATAATAGTTTAAAAACATATCCTGAGGGATAGACCATCCTACTCACCTCTGTGATGGTCCTTCCCTTCTGTGTGAGTTGTTTCTAAAGGAATCCCCTGCATGGGTGCTCTCTTTCTCTGATTCTTCAGATATAGAGGCACTGTTATCATTGTCAGAAAAGGAGCTACATCCAAGAGGAAGCAAAGATGAATTCGATTAATGTTTTCAACCATGGTAGAGGAGAACATTTCTCATGCGGAGAATGCTTGCCCCATCTCTTTCTTTCCCTCTCAAATGAACATACATTACTTTTCAGTTAGAGCAAGGTAAGAACTGTATAGGACACACAGTATCCTATAAGGAAAATGGCATTTCATTAAGAAACCACATTCTGGATCTTCCACATTCCTATTGCTGGACAGATTAGTTGATGTTAATATTTATTAAGTAGAAAATATGATATCTGGGATTTAGATCATATTAACCAGTTGTATTAACTCTCATTTCCTAACTAATGTTTCCTTCCACTAAAAGAAGTTCAATCACATGTATATACATTGTGTTTATTTATAGAGTAACCACTTTAAATTATACTTTTAAATTGTGTTATTAGCACCTCATGTTCTATGTGATTTTTCACATTTGTCTATGGCAATGACCTCTGTTTAGATTTGAAATCTCCCATAAGGAAAGGCTCTGCCAATGATTAGAAAAATATTTAGCATAGGTGTTTACTAGGTGCTTCCAAAAAATACACACAATCATGAAATAAATAAACTAAATACATGATGAAATTTAAGGTTACAAATTATAAAGTTAAGTAGAAATTATACCTAGGTACATATAAAAAAACTGTGGCTGGTATTAAAAATGCATAAGAAAACACATGGGTTTACCTGCATGCTCCACTTTCCATCCTTCTTATTTCCTTTTCAATATTGGGTACAATCACATTGGGAATATTTACAAAGGAATGCCATGTATTGATAATATGTGTCTTCATGGTTAGCCTAATATCTGAAGAGAAACAAATCATATTAGTGGTAAAACTATTTATATATATATATGTATGTATTTTATATGTATGTATATATATATATATATATATATATATATAATTTAAAAAGTTCCCCTTACAATTCTTCTAAGGCTGGGATAACATGCATTTATAGTTATACAGAGGAATTATTCTTAAAAAGACGTGGCCTGTTCCCTTGATTTCCATTAGCCAGGGTGTGTGTTGTTGTGTACTTTTTTAAATTCAAAAGTGTACCAGAGGTATAATTTTATTTTTAATTTTTGAATTTACCCCAATTTTGAAATATTCAGGCAGCATAAGTATAGAACAGAGCTATAAGGGCCCTACATAATACCACATAATTATAACAGTGGAAAGTTTCAAAATAAAATACCAAAATCAGGATAAATTCTTACAGGCATTCACAAAGAAAGGGTAGAAGGTTAGTCTTAAGTGGTATTCAAACTCCTTTTTGTACTGGGGATCAAACCCAGGGCCTGCACGGTACTACTGAGCTTTTAAATCTCAACTCCAGTGGTATTCAATTTCTAAAGTGAATAAAAATGCAATTGATCCATGGTTTTAGCAAGTCCCCTAAATTATACTGATGATATAGTCCATACAACATATGAAAAACTCTGGTCTAAACTCTACTCAGGATATGTAGTTTCCTAGGAGCAGGCAGAGCCTGCTCACTTTTCAGCTGCTTCCAGCATGTACTAGGTTCAGGTCATGTTGTCTACTGCATTTCCTTCTCCACCTATTTCAGTTGCCCTCAGTTGGTTATTTCCATCCGTGCTCCTTGTAGAGGTTCTTCCTCCAGGCTGATGGTACCGACTTAGAGAATGCAGGTAACAAGAAAGATGCTGTGCTCTGCCACTCCTGCAAATACTCAGTGCTAGAATGGTCCTCCCTTCAATCCCACACTACCTTTGGTTGCCTGGGCCTGGAAGTTGAGCCCTTCCCTTAAAAGAGCCATAGCTCAGAAGATCATACCGGAGTCAACAAAAACCAGGACATATGAGGTACCCCTGGAAAACTTTGGAACAACTCTTTGAGGCAATAAGGCTGAACATTCCTTGGGTGCAGACGGTGCTGGATCAGGAAGTATGTGCTGTTCACAATAGTGCAAATTTATTTGTATCCAAAGACTCCATGGGCCCAGAGACCTTTAGGTTATGTAATCATCATACATGAACATCATACATGTTCAAACAGGACAGATATTTAAGACATCTACCAAATAGCTGGACCAGTTTAATTGTTGGCCAGCAGCTACTTGATTGCTGGGCATTTTCCAATCAAGTAAGATTTAAGTATCCAATGACAATGTATCAATTGTTAAATATGTTTAGTATCACCCTTTCCTAATTTTATTACTTAACAGCTTTTGTGTACAATTGTCAGTGCCTCAATTAGTTTATGAGTCCTTGAAATCCAGGGCAATTTCTTAAAAGTTCTCTTTTGTCCCTCTAATACCTATTATGATTCTATAAAATTAGTATGTTACTTAACTAGTCACTAAATAGCTTGTTATTTACACTTCTCCCTTTGTTGCATGTTTTTAAAATGGGAATGGTGTTTTCAAGTTGTATATACATAGGTGGTACTGGGTTTGAATTCATGCTTGGGAGGCAGGCATTTTACTACTTGAGCCATACCTCTAGCCCTTTTGCTCTGGTTATTTTGGAGACAAAGTATTGCTTTTTGCCCATCATCCTCCTATTTTAAGCTTCCTGCCATCGCTGGAAGGCCACGACACCCAGTTTTTTTTTTTTTTCTTTTTCTTTTTCTTTTCTTTTTTTCTGTTGAGATGGGGTCTTGCAAATTTTTTGCCAGGGCTGGCCTGAACTGCCATCCTCCCAATTTCAGCCTTCTGTGTAGCTTGGGATGGTGCATGTCACCATGTCCAGGTATTGGTTGTGATGGGGTCTAGATAACTTTTTGCCTGGACTGGTCTCAAATTGTTATCCTCTCAATCTCAGCCTCCCAAGTAGCTGGGATTACCAGGCTAAAAAATTATAATTTAAATAGCCAAATTTTAATGTCTGGGCTATGCTATGAAAACAGACTTTTACAAAGGTGTCAAAAAGTATTCTGGCTACAATTCCCTGATGAGTCATACTGTTTTATGCCTCTTTGCCTTTGCACATGCACTACTTGAGACTGAAAAATTCACCTCCCTAGAGTGCACATAGGAGCTACCCATCTCTCAAGTCCAAGCCACTCACTCCTCACCCTTAACAAAGCTACTCACTTCTCTTCTCCATCACAGCAATTTGTACACAGTTCAAGTTGTTGTGTCTCCAGAATGAAACTGCAACGTTCTCTGAGGTAGAGACCTTTGTCACCACAGCAAAGTGCTTCCACATATTAGGTACTCAAGAAATACTTACTGAGTGAACAAATCTTGATTTGTGTTTTTAAAACTCTCATACTCTCATATATTTTCATTAGAAGTGAGGAAACCTTAGTGAATTTACAATGATTTTGAGATGGTTCTTAGAGTGATAGACTTGGTGGATTGCTCCCCTCCCCCCAGCATCCATTCTTCTCTTTCTAGTGTACTTTCATATTCTGTGAAGACGGGAAGAGCTAAAAATCTGAATTTCTTTTTTTTAATTGTTTATTCATTATTCATATGTGCATACACTGTTTGGGCCATCTCTCCCTCCTGCCCTTCCCTCTCCTCCCAACCCCCTCACTTCTAGGCAGAACCTGTTCTGCCCTCTTCTCCAATTTTGTTGAAGAGAAAACATAAGAGATAATAAGAAAGATATGGCATTTTTGTTAGCTTGAGATAAAGATAGCTATACAGAGAGATTTCTGGCATTGCTTCCATGCACAAGTGTATTACAACCTGAATTGATTCATCCCTACCAGACCTCTTCACTACTTCCTGGTCACCTTTCCATAGTGGCTTCTGTCAGTTTAAGATTACTTTATTTGCTTCTCTGCAGTGGGCACATCAAACACTTTCAAGTTTTAGGTTTCCTTCGCTTTCCCTATTCCTCCTGTGCACCTCTTCCCTTAGCTTATGACCTGTGTCCAATAACATTACTGCATTTGTTTTAGGTCTATAATCCGCATATGAGGGAGAACATACAATTTTTGGCCTTCTGAGCCTGGCTAACTTCGCTTAAGATGATGTTCTCCAGTTCCATCCATTTACTTGAGAATGACAGTTTCATTCTGCTTCATGACTGAATAAAATTCCATTGTGTATAAATACCACATTTTCTGAATTCATTCATTGGTAGTGGGGCATCTTGGCTGTTTCCATAACTTGGCTATTGTGAATAGTGCTGCAATAAGCATGGGTGTGCAGGTATCTCTGGAATAACCCGACTAGCATTCCTTTGGGTATATCCCCAGGAGTGGGATTGCTGGAACATTTGGCAGATCTATGTTTAGTTTTTTAAGGAGCCTCCATATTGTTTTCCAAACTGGTTGTACTAGCTTACATTCTCACCAGCAGTGTATGAGGGTTCCTTTATCCCCTTCATCCTCACCAACATTTGTTGTTGGTGGTGTTTTTGATGATAGCTACTCTGACAAGGGTAAGGTGGAATCTTAGTGTGGTTTTGATTTACATTTCCTTTATGGCCAGGGATGGTAAGCATTTTTTCATGTGTTTTTTGGTCATTTGGATTTCTTCCTTTGAACAAGTTCTGTTTATTTCAGTTGCCCACTTCTTTATTGGTTCATTGATTTTAGGGGAGTTTAGTTTTTGCAGCTCCCTGTATATTCTGGTTTTCAGTCTTTTGTCTGATGTATAGCCAGCGAATATTTTCTCCTACTCTGTCAGTGGTCTCTTAAGTTTAGAGACCATTTCTTTTGCTGTGCAGAAGATTTTTAATTTCATGTAGTCCCATTTGTCCATCCTTTCTCTTAGTTGCTGGACTGCTGGAGTTCTATTGAGGAAGTCCTTGCCTATACCTATTGCTTCCAGAGTATTCCCTGCTCTTTTCTGTACTAACTTCAGAGTTTCCAGTCTGATATTAAGGTCCTTAATCCACTTTGAGCTGATACTAGTACAGGGTGATAGGCATGGATCTAGTTTCAGTTTTCTGCAGGCAGATAACCACTTTACCAGCCACATTTGTTGAAGAGGTTGTCTTTTCTCCATCATATGTTTTTGGCACCTTTGTCAAAAATAAGGTGGGCATAGCTGTGTGGATTCATATTGGGGTCCTCTATTCTGTTCCACTGGTCTTCACATCTGTTTTTTTTTTGTTTTTTTTTTTTTGCCAGTACCATGCTGTTTTTATTGCTATGGCTTTGTAATACAGTTTTAAGTCGGGTATTGTGATACCTCCAGCATTGCTCTTTTTGCTGAGTATTGTTTTGGCTATTCACAGTCTGTTGTGCTTCCAAATGAACTTTAGGGTAGATTTTTCAATCTCTGTGATGAAAGTCATTGGGATTTTGATGGGAATTGCATTAAACATGTAGATTGCTTTTGTTAATATATCCATTTCTACTATGTTGGTTCTACCAATCCATGAGCACGGGATATCTCTCCACCTTCTGTAGTCTTCCTTGATCTCTTTCTTCAGGGGTTTGCAGTTCTCCTTGTAGAGGTCATTCACATCCTTTGTTAAGTTTACTCCTAGGTATTTGATTTTTTTTTTGAGGCTATTGTAAATGGAATTGTTTCCATATATTCTTTCTCAATTTGCTCATTGTTAATGTATAGAAAAGCTAATGATTTTTGTAAGTTGATTTTATATCCTACCACATTGATGAAGCTGTTTATGGTGTCTAGGAGGTTTTGGGTAGAGGTTTTTGGGTCTTTGAGGTATAGGATCATGTCGTCTGCAAATAGGGATACTTTGACAGTTTCTTTACCTATTTGTATTCCTTTTATTACTTATTCTTACTTTATTGATCTGGCTAGGAATTCCAGGACTATGGTGAATAAGAGTGGGGAGAGTGGGCACCCTTGTCTCATTCCTGATTTTACGGGAAATGGTTTCAGTTTTTCTCCATTAAGTAT